TGATTAATTAAAAAAAAAAAAAAGACCCACTCACTACCCACCAAAGTAGGAGTAGAACATTGTCTTTGAATGATATGTCAATGGACCTAAGTGTCACCCAAGGCTTTGGTCCTGGCTTTGGTCACCCAGGCCGAGTGACTCATTCCTTCAAGGTATTTGGTAGTACCTAAGAAGTTTTCATAAATTTGTCCTCTGTGTTCCCCATCACATTCATGGATATATTTGCAACAAAGGTAAATACATATACATATACCCTTTGTCAAATATATATATATTTGTGGATATACTCCCACTCTCCCTATCACACCTTGTTTGCATGGCTATCCATGCATTTTCTTGTAGACTGCCCTTATCTATTGCTTGTTTGCTTGTTTTCTCCATTCACTTTACTATCACCTTAGTTCCAGCCCTTAACTTTCCTACTTGAAAAATTACATAAGAGTACATTCCTGAAAATCTCTCTGCCTTTCTTTCTGCCATCCCCTGAGCTGTCTTCCACAATCTTCTGTAGCTCATCATTCCAAAGCATAAATCCCATCCATTCACTTTCTTTTGTGCTGCCCAATATGGTAACCATGAACCATGTGACTAATAAGCATTTGACATGTTGCTAATCTGAATACCTATTTGTTGAAATGTAAAAACCACACAAGATTCAGAAGACGTCATCTGGAAAGAAGAAGAGTGTAAAAGAATTAATATTTCTATGTACTGAGTTAGATATAAAACATTTACTACATTAAAATTCTTTTACACATTTTATAATATGATTACTAGAAAACTTCAAATAATTTATGTGGGTTGTATTTGTGGCCTGCATTAGTTATCTACTGGACAGTGTTGCTTTAGAGGATAGCGTTCAAACCCCTTATCATAGAACGATGATCTTTTATTGTATGACTGAATGTTCCTTGGTAGTGCGAGCAGTTTGCAATTGACTACTAACATAAAAGATGGTGGTTTGAACCCACCCAGTACCCTGCAGAAGAAAGGCTGAGTAATTCATTTATGTAAAGAATACAGCTAAGAAAACCCTATGGAGAAGTTCTGCTCTGTGATACATGGGGTTGCCTTGCATTGGAATTAACTCAACTGCAGCAGGTCTGGTTTGGTTTAGTTTGGTATCATCTGATCACTGTCTGCCTAGTTCCATGGTTCTCAACTTTCCTAATGCTGCAACTCTTTATTACAGATCCTCATGTTGTGGTGAACCCCCAATCATAAAATTATTTTCGTTGCCACTTTCTAAATGTAATTTTGCTACAGTTATGAATCGGCGACCCCTGTGAAAGGGTCGTTCGACCCCCCAAAGGGGTCGCGACCCACACGTTGAGAACCACTGACCTAGTTCATTGGCACCTTTGCCAGCTACCTCGCAAAGAGGCCTGGTTTTTTTGTTTTGTTTTGTTCTTTTAATAAAGAGGACTAGTTTTAGACTCAGATGGATCTCCTTAAATGTCAGCATTCCCAGCTGAAAGATTAAGATAATAATACCTATCTCAAAGTGTTTAATGCATACAACTGAATTCTCCTAGACACATTCTAGCCGTTCCAAATGACTTTCAGTTCCTCGTTTCTTTCTAAGGAAAAGAGCTGCTGCTGATTAAGATGTGTCTGTGACCTTAACATGCCTAAAAATGAGCAATCTTCTTTCTTTCTTTAGTCACTAGAATTCCACTTTGCTTTTGCTTCTCCCACTTTCACCAAATATTAGACCTGAAACTCTTTGCATTTCCCTTTATTGTTTAATTTAATATCCTGTCCTAAAGAGTTCACTTTAAAGGAATATATTATTGTAACATTGAAGAAGTTTCAAGTCAAACGAAGAGCATAATCAAAAAGATTTTATCTTGTCCTTGCCCTATACATAAGAGAATATCATTTTATTCTGTGATCTGATATCCTGTAGTGAGTTCTTTAAACAAAGTAGAATTTAAATGTAACCTTGGAATATCATCTGAAACAATGACTTCTTCCTCATCTTCTTCTTCATTTTTTCTTCCTTTGAACCCTCCTGCCTCCAAATACTCTTTACCCCAAACCCCATATTTCACCACCACTCAGTTGAGCCACCCAGTTAAGGACCTGCATGTCAGCTAGGCCCGTGGAGAGGAAGGAGCTCATGATGAATTGTGCACAGTGTAGTAGAAAAAAATTATGGCAATTGACACATCAACACAAATGTTCACACAATTCTTTGAGGTATTTTCTGATGGCCAGAGTTGTCAAAGATAAAAGGATGGTGAAATGTTTTAAATATGTGTCTGTTAGGAACATCTTTTGAGCACTCTGTTCGTGAATTCTCAACGGTTCTTACCCATAGGCAAAGTTTAGAAACACAGGAGTATTCCAAAAAGAGTTGTGAGACTCAGCAAGCTGGAGCTAAATGTCTCCCCAAGATAAAATGTGGCCTTTCTGATGATGTGGTCACCTTTTCTTTCTCCAGTGTCAGCATTTTGAAATGGATAACGAATATGGATTAAGTAGGAATTGAATGCAAATGTATTTTGCAAAGAGTGTCTTTTGAGATAATCACAGCTGATGGTTGAATGCTGAAGGTATTAATACAATCAGTATTTAACCTTGTGTAACTCAGCTTCATCAAATCACGCCCTGCGCATTGATTGCATTAAGCCGGGTCAGTGGTTTCTTGCTTAGGAATATCTTATAAGAATCTTAACAGGAAAGCAACTGAAGCTGAGCAGCTACTGTTTATTTGCATACTGAGCGTGTCATCAATAATACAAAAGACAAGGTCTTTAAGTTTAAAGAACGGTGGGATTGGCATGAATTTTGCTTAATGGTGCGTAATAAGCAAAGTAGTCTGTGGTGCCAGAAACTGACAGGATCCATTATGATAAAACAGATATATGTCTTTAATTTAAGGGTATTATGTAAATCTGACAGTTTTCCCCTTTATTTTCCTGTAGTTTAACTTTAATTGCTCCAAGATTAATTCCAATTTCTCCCTTCCTCCAGAGGGTGATGAGACTGGCGTGATGGATAATCTTCTAGAAGCCCTACAATCGGGTGCCGCATTCCGAGACCGCAGAAAGCGGATTCCAAGGAATCCAGGTAAGATCTCCTTTAGTTCACTTAGTGTGAGACTGTATGAATGTTCAAAGCCAAGAATGAAACATTTTTTTTCAAAAGAAGGAAACCTCCTCATGAAGATGTTTTTTAACAGCTGATCTCAGTTCATATGTGAAATCTCAGCAGGCTTCTACATCCAAGGGATCACAAGTTTCAACTTGGTAAATGTATCTTCAGACAACTGTGGACTTGGTTTTTTTTTTAATGTAACACCACCCCAACAACTCAGCAACAAAGACTGCCACTGTGTTTGATATTAAATATTTTAATTGTTAGTTGACGAGCAGGTAGTTTAGGTAGATCGTGGTTTAAAACCATAAATGTAATTAAATCACTAAAAGTAGTTGGCCCTGAGGATGTCACATAAGCGATTTCTAACTAAGGAAAGTAAGGCAGCATGTGCTCCTCCAGAGGTCCTTTTCGTATTGAGGGAAGGTACACTCCCCATTAATTTTATTAACAACAGAAGCCAGGGCACAGGTGATCCTAGCCCC